TATTTCCATAGATAACAGAAAGTTTAAAGTAGAAACAGATGTATCTGAAGAGGCTCTTAGGGCTATTCTCAGCTAAAAGCAGAATAAACAATAAAAGCCAATCACATATCTATTTAAAGCACTCTCCACTACAGAATGCAACTATAAAATCTATGATAAGGAGTTGTTAGTAATAATAACAGCATTGAACAAGTAATACTACTATCTAATAGATGTAAAATACAACCTCAAAATCTGAACAAATTATTAGAATCTCTAGTATTTCAAAAAACCACAGAAGTTGAATTGGTGACAGGCATGTTGGGTAACAGAGCTGGCCAAATACCAGTTCAGCCTTTATCACAAACCCAAAATAGCTAATAAGAAAACTAACCCACTTAACCAACATACAGACTATAATCAGAAAGAAAACAACAATGAAGAGATCATAATACTCAAATTAGAACTATTTTATATAAATGCTATGGTATTCCTGATCACACCAGAAATCTTAAAGAAAGTGTGGTGGGAAAAGAAGTTGACAGAGAAAGCAGTGCAGCAGACACTCAACAAAAAGAAGAAAAAATAGACTCTTGAGAAAAAGATACACTACTTCTATGATAGACTGTATATTCTCACCAATAAAAAATTGTGCAGAGAAATTCATTGTGACATACTATGATCACTTGATGGCTGACCACTCAGAGATTATAAAAATACAGAAACTAATCACTTATAACTACTGGTGGCCTGGCTTATGACAGTCAGTAGAGACATATGTCAGAGAATGTGAAACATGTCAGAGGGCAAAATTGAGTACTCAAAGAAGAGTGGCACTGTTACATCTAAATGAGATCCCTTCAGACAGATGGAAGGTGATCTCTATCAATATAATAGGACCTCTCTTCAAGTCAAAAGAGCACAATATCATTCTAGTTATAATAGATCAATTCTTCAAAGAGCTCATTTCTGTTCAACAAACTCTAGTCTGAATGCTGAAGGATGGGCATGCCTTTTCCAAGATTATATTTACATCCACCACAGCCTCTTTGACAAGATCATCTTGGATCAAGACCTATAGTTTATTTCACAGTTTATTAAAAAACTATACAAGCTGCTCAGAATCACCAAAAATTCTTCTACAGCATACCATCTTTAGATGGACAGATAGACTGAGCAGATAAACTAAGAGATTGAGAAATATCTGCAGATATTTATCAATCACAGGCAAGATAACTGGACAGAATGGCTTCTTTTAGCTGGATTCACCTGCAACAATTGAGAAAATTCAGTGACAGGCTTTAGCCTATTCTTTATAAACACTGGAAATCATTTGAACATCAGGATGAACCCTTCACAAAGAAACAGCCAAGTACTCCAGGCAAAGAAATTTGCCACTGAAATGAAGAAAATTCATGATAAAGCAGAACAGTCATCAAATAAAGCAACAAAGATAATGAAAAGGCAATACAATAAAGAGAAGGCACTGGCTAGAAATATCAGCTGGAGGATCAGATTATACTAGATATGAAAAACCTGAAGACAAATAGAGCAATAAAGAAATTAAATGACAAGTACAAGGGCTTCTTTAAGATCACAAAGAAAGTAGGTGACAGGGCATATGAATTATCTATTTCAAAGACTTGGAAAATTCATCCAGTCTTTGATGAGAACTGTTAGGCTCAAGCTGCATGTGATCAACTAACATGTGATAAACTAACATGGCTTCATGTTTGAGCCTTCTGTTAGAGTTCACTTAATATGTTGTTTGTTGATTCTCTGTGCTTCAAGGTGTTGTGTGATTAGCATGAGAGTAGAATGAGGATGTATAAACTTTAGCTCAAAGCTGGGGTTACCAGCAAGAGCAAGCCTCTTTAAGTACTGTACAGGGTCTGCTAATAATACTATGTACTTATTATAGGTTTTTCTGCTTTTTGTGCTTGTTGTCCTTGAGCATTACTACCATATATAAAAGGTTTCTTGTGCATCATTGGGCAGCATTGCTGTGTTAAAAGACAATGATGGACTCAGCTAGTGGTGATGACTAAGCCTTGTCCCACAGTCTTAAGCACCTGTCTTAGCACTCTGATTCAGCATAAATAGGGACTAATTCAAGAAAAAGAATAAAAAATCATAACAAGAACTTGCTTAAGCTGTTTCAACAAGCCAAGTTTCTCAATCAGCAAGTGTTACTACCATTCAAATTGGTGGCTGTTGATAATAAAAATGAGTACACAACAATGGTTTTTAGTGCATTTTAAAGAATATAGCAATGAAGAAAACTGTTGGTATGCTAAAAAGGACCTTTCATATATCAAAAAGCTTATAGCAAAGTACTGTGCAGCACAGAGTTTGCTTGTGGCAATAAATTTTGCTTAGATAGAATGATCAAGGTTTAATAAAACCAATTATGCTAGAACTCAGAAACTTTTATTTGAACTGAAACACCAGCTATTTGAAGCCAAAAAGCTATACATGTGGAAGGATATTGATAAAATCAAGGCAGAAACCTTCATGGACCAGAAATATTTTCTAGACTGGATACATGACACTTCAGTGGAAATCAATGAGCAGAAATAGGCTCACATCTTGTTTTCTGAGCTTCTCTAATGCAATCAAAGATAATTGCCTTGAAGAGAGGGTAATATTATAATTTTGACTTCTAATTATGACCTGCTGATACTTAGTAAGCCAATGCTTACAAAAGCCAAACTATTCTCAACTATTTCTCAGCTTTAGCCATAAAAGAACCTTGTACTAACTATGCAAAACAGCAGATGACAATGTTATGATAATACAATAGCTGCATTTTACTTAGCAACACATTATGAATAGTCAGTATCAGTATGCTGACAGAAACATTCTCACACTCTTTTTATAATAGATGCTACAGCTTGTGGAAATCTCATTATAATAATAGAATAATAAAACAATAGTCATATGAACATATAATAGTATAATCTGTGAGATGAAAACAATGAATAGTAGACACAGCAAATGGGACAATAATCATCTGTAGAGCAAAGAGCTTTATAGACAGTATTTAAAAAGGTAGTATATAGTAATGTATCTCAGTTTTGAGCTAAAGTTTAATGCATCTAATAAACTCTTAGGCTCTTAGTGCAATCATCTCTATCAGAAGATATTCTGGCAGGCATCATTTATTGACCTTTTGCTTATACCTCTATTATTCTTACCATATACCTCATCATCCTTATCATCCTCCTATACTAAAAGCTTCAAAAACATCAGAATCAGAACTCCAATAGACCTTGGTGGTAGCAGTGTAGTGTATTTGTAGATGTTTAATAGTGGACTCACACTAGCCATGATTGGTAGAGTATATGACTTAGCTTTAGAATGATACTAAAGAATCACACTGCACAGGAAGTCTTAGTACTTGACATTGAATATACTGACAATAGCATAGAGCTTATACACTAAAAATAAAAATCATACAGAACTACAGATATGACTTCATGCAGTACTTTGAATATGATCTTATGCAGGAGAGACTCTGCATATGATCTTTGCAAGAGACTCCACATGTGATCTTGCATGAGACTTCATGCAGTACTGATATAATGTATAATCATAAGATGAATTAATTGATATGCTCTAGACTAGAAGTGACACACATTGTGAATCAGACAGAATATTTAGGCACTCAGCTAGAGAACATGATAATTGTGGCTGACTCTTAATATAAGAGATAACTCTGAGAGCCTGCAATAGATTCTGAGAGTAGCAGAATAATCCTGAGAAGATAAGAAAGCAAAGAAACCTATGGCTAGACTCACTAACAAAGATAACTAATGTCAAGTTACATAGAAGCAGAGAGTGCAGTCCTGACCTGGAACAGAATATGCATGTCAGACAGTGACATGCATGGGAATAACTCATAAGAGACTCTAAAACAGAGTCTCATAAATTAAAACTATTATATTAGGTTTCTCTTAGTAAGTACAGTAGTAGCCTATTTAAATACCATATTGTAAAAATAGTAGACAAGTTTCTGACCCCCACAGTTGCAGTGTATTGGGCATGAAGGCCTTGCACTCCAGCTCTGGATTTGAGTTTGTAACTTTAGATAAGAGAATAAACTCTTTATTGAGATTATTAAGAGAGATTTGAGAACTGTGTGCAACATTGAAAGCTCTCATGAGACTTTAGTCTGATTTAATAAGAGATTTTGAATTGTGCTTTAGCCTGAGAATAAGAGAGCAGTGTCTGAAGGACACTTTTAAGTTTTGGAGGTATTTATGATATAAGACACTATAGGTGACAGAGATTCAAACTCTTTGACTTGATTAATACTCACTTTTTGATTATTTCTACAGATTGGCAGAGGTTCAAATCCTTTAAGTCTGTGAACAGGGTTTATTATATTTTTTGTGCCTCTAGATTTCATAAATTTGAATCTTGTGAATCTACAATTGGTTTAGAAACTTGCATGCAGAGGTTGGAATCTTTTGGTGCTTGTGGACATGTTTGTGAAGTGTTTCTGCCTAGAGTATAAAGCTTTAAGTTATATATTATGTGTTTTAAGGATTTTGAGTTGATCTGAGTAGTGCTTTAGACTCATTGAGAGTTTTATAAGAGTATTTTGAAGTATTGTATTGAGCTACAGTACTCTTATCTTGAGATCTAGCAATATTTATTGTCTCCCTTGTTATAAACAAAAGCTTTGAGACTTAAAAAGATCTCAGATAGATATATATGCATGTGTAAATAGTCAGTCACTATTGAGAGTAGAATAGAGAATGGATTGTTAGGGAAAAAAAAGATGTTCTCTTCTCTATGAGATGTAGCTACTTATATACAATTTGAACTATAGATGGCATAAATGTGAGCAAGACAATATAACAAAGTGATAAAGACAATGAAAGATAAAGACACTAAGAAATGATATGGACAATGTAATTGAAGGCTGGAATCTTTGAATAAGACAATGTGTGCATATAATAGTGCAAAATTCTCTATATCTCATACAAACTATTTATTTTAGCCTTCAGATCAAATCATACAGAGTTGTCTGAATTATTGATAATATCTGTGAAGTCTGATATAGCCACAAATTCTGTTACTTTGTATTCTTTCTTTGATCTCATATAGTATAGAATTAAATAGAATATGACAAACTTCAGTTGTGAGATGACACCATCAAGTTCAGCAAAGTAGTATGCTCCTTTTTTTTGATGAATGACCACTATAAGACCAAAGTAGCATAGGTGGAATTTTTTATTAATACCAACTTTGATCTTTTTGTTCAAAATAAGTATAAAAGTATCTGGCTTAAAATCATAGTTATAGATGGTGGTTGCAAAACAGTGCTAGAAGTCTGCTATAGACCTGAACTGAGCTTTGATGATATAATCCTCTAAGCAAGCTAAGTCTTCTTATCTTTACTCTAACTGATATACATGCATATACAGGAGATCTGACTCTAATACCTTTCTAGTAAACTCCAAGAATAAGAATATTGCTAACAGAATATCAAAGAAAAGAAGAGGTTCTATGCTATAGGCTGCATAAAAGAGTGAAATCTGAGTCCAGCAGAAGGTAGTAATCCTGTCAGCTCAAAAAGCAAGATGAGCTTTTCTTAGCCAGATCTTTTTATCCTTTTCATAAAGCTTCTTTAGGGCATCTCAGATAGGCCAGTGAGTGACTTTGACAATATCATTGGCTTATGACTTGTAAGCTGAGATTCAAACATAGTTGATGCTATATTTTCTGCTCAAGTAGGCCATTGTTCATCATCAAAATTTCTGTGATACCACTCTATCAACACAAAATCTCTTTGAAAATAAACTGTCAGAATATCTCCCCTGTTTCAGTATAAAGCATCTGAAATTCAGACCAGTGAGTGAGGCTGCATCATCTTTGGATGATATACTGATAACTTCTGACTTTTAGTAGATGTATGGTGTTGATATGATATTTTTGGAAGAGTCTAGCAGGCATAGACATTTTTAGAGGCAAGTGTATATGCTCTGTAGATTATAGCTGGCATTCATAACATGTTTTTAGATATCATTATATATCTTTATTGATTTTCAGCCACCAAGATCAATCCAGGAGTTGTCATCATATTGAGTAGAACTCTTTGTGATAGCTTAGCTTGTCATATGCTGTATGCATAATAACCAGACATTCTAAGTATGAGACTATAAGCTGATATCATCTTTTTTGGCTGCAATGAAATAATTATTATTCAGCAGTGAAGTAAGGTCAGACTTATTGTTGCAACACTGAGAGCTTTGTGCAGAGGATCATGAGAGGGCACTTAAAGTGAGTGAGACAATATTAAATATCTTTCAAGGCTGCATTCTGTTGTAGATACTTTTTAGTTCTTGGAATATCCTTCAGGACATTAGTTTCTGCTTGTGCAGCTACAGAGATATATGAAGGTGAATTTGTCTGATCCAGAAGTATATTTGTTAATGTATCACTGACTATCTCATTCTGTAGCAAGATTGTGAGCCACACACCACACTCTAAGATCTCTTTATCAACCAAATCCTTTGCATCTGTCTCAGATATATCACTCTCATTCTCTGTATGCTCATTCTGTGATAGCCTATCAGATCTCTTGAAATGTTCTGCAGAGATATAAACTAATATAAAGTTGAACATCAATATTGCTGCAATCCACCAGTTTATTGAGGCATTCAGATGGAGGTCTGGATTATTCAGCATCTCCTTGATGTATTTTGCATTCATCTTGACAATAAAGTGTTTTAAGCTGACAAAATAAATTCAGACAGCATATAAGGCATGTCAATGGCCTTGAAGTTTAATCTTAGTCTGTGAATACTAAAGTTCAATATTGAACCATGCAATTGATCCAAAATAGATAATACACCTTCAGTTGTCAAGTTTCTCCTGCTGTAAGAGAAATCTGCAAGCAATTTTAGATGAATCAATAAAGAGGATAACATCTCAGCCAAAGGTGTAGTCTATAAGTTATATTGTGGGACAACTGATGATTGCACTTTTTATGGTGTCTATTGCATCCTGTGTTTCTTATGTCTAGGCAAATAGAATATCCCATACTATCAGTTTAACCAAAGGCCAAACTATAGCAGCAAAGTCTTGAATCTAAATTCAGATGGTGCCTGTAAGGCCCAAGAAGCCTCAGACTGAATCTTCTATATGGCTGAGTTTTCTAATAAGTGCTCTTCATAGCTGCAAATTTGTTTTAGTATAATGAGTTTAAGAATGCTGATGTGCAGTTTTTTAGCAGAGACAGAGGCTCCTGCATGTTTGAGGCAGTGTAGAATCTGATGAACATCTAGTAAGTGTTCTCATATAAACTTTTGAATGTGACTGTTCTTTAAATGTTTTTCATAGTTGCTGTTGGGAAGCTCATAGCATGTCTGTGGTCTCAGGATATTGATGTTATCAATGAAATTTAAGACAACATTCATCTCATGCTGCAGAATAAATATGATACTATAGTGGAAGATATTGACAGAGCTTGTCTATTCCTGTGGTAATGTAGTGAGTTATATGAAACCAAGATGGATGTCAATAGTGGTGAGATCACAGGAGGAGATGTCCAGCATATTCTGATCATAGCTAGATAGTAGATCAATACTCATGTAGATACTATATTCTGCTGCATATTTACAGTACTAGTCTGAGAGGGATGGTTGTCTTATTATATAAATGGTATATCTATTCATTTCATTGGAGTTGATGACTATCCTCACTTTTCCATCCTTCTTTGAGACACAGAACCATTGTATATGATATAAACTGTCAAATGGCTTCTAAAGGCTTTATCAGATCTTTTTCTCAACTTGTTCAATGATCTGATAGTGAATTCTTAGAGATACAGAGATAGACTTGCAGGCCTATGGTTTATGCTTTATGAGCAGAATGATTACTGGACTGATATAGTTGTCTCACAGTCAGTCTCATTCTTCATTGATAAAGACAATTGCATCTTTATTGTGCATCAAAACATTGATTGCTAACCTGTGCTCTTCTGTCCATAGGAATTATTTGTTAAGATCCCTAGTGACTCTAAGTGTTCATGTGTGAGGCACAGAGAGGGCTGAAAGTCAGTCAGAAATAGAAACAGTGGAGGTAAAGAGAGTAGAGAGTCTTCTGAAAATCTTCATCAAATTTTTGCATGTTCAGAGAGTGTTACTAGAATCAGATTGGCTTTCCTGTCTATGCTTTTGTACAAGAGACAACATGTATTTTCATTGAAGAAAAAAGTGTACTCATGAAATAGCTGTTAGATCATCTAGCTGAGATTTATTCTTGTAGGCTGGCTGATGTTCCTTTAGTAGGAGTGTTTCTTCATGGTTCTTTTATTCTGACTTCTTTTTAGTGAACAGAGAAATGTTTTCATCATCTATCTTCTTTCTCTGTGCTCATATGGTTGCAGCTACTTCAGCATGCTGATCCAAATCCTCTATATCCTCTTTATCACACTCCATTCTCAAGAAGCCCCACCAGACATTTTCTCTGTCCTCTATAATCATTGTAACATGAGCCACTTCTGATTCATTATCTACTTTTTCAACAAAAGCTGTTGTAAAATATGTAAGACCTCTATCAATCACCATATATTCTAAAAATCCTTCTATGCAGAACCAGCCTATGTAGAGTGACTAGTTGGAGTGGATGGTACTGCAAGAGAAGACATAGGACTATCAAAAACTCTGTCAACAGCAGCCTTTAAGCATATGTGCTGCTGGACATGATGGATGGGACTGCCATTACAAAAGCAGAATCTGCATCCTATAAGCATGATACAGCCAGCATCAATATACACAGATATATATGAGGAGTCAGCAACAAAATGATTTATCTCTCTACAGAAAAAACATCCAGCAGATCAGATTGAAAATGACAAAGTGTTTTGAGCCTGCATGGCAGAATTCTTGAACTGATATATTATTGCAAATATTGATCTAATTGCTGGGCTGAGTGACTGTACCAGTGGCTATAATGCTGCTTGAAATGCAGCTGCCTGTGCTAGTGACAATTTTTTAAGTGCAGTCTAGAGATCATCTATAATAGATCTCAGTGAAGGTCTTTGTGAGGGTAGAGGTGTCTGAGTCAGAATCCAAGTCCTCACTGTCAGATATGAGTGTCTTCTTCCTCTTGTGATGGTGGGAGTGAACATACAGAGCATTAGAATCAGAATCTGTGTCATAGATGGCAGAATGCAGCACCCAATGACTTGCCTTCATTACACTCTTGATGGAGAGAACTTTGTCATAGTCTCAGCTGAAATTGACACAACAGATATAGTCCTCAATACACTCTCTAGTGCAATGGTCAAATCCTTTTCAGAAGATATGTCATTCCTCACTTTCAGCTATAACACTCTTTTTATGCAATACTTTGGCAATAGGCTTGAACTAGTGATGGTAGCACTCCAGATCTTCAATCTTAGACATTTCACAGCAATACCATTTCTTGGCAAGATCCTGAAACTCACTTAGAGAGTGTTTGTGCTGTCAGAAGGTGTAGAATTCCTCAGTAAGGTCAGCTTTGAACACATACTAGTTATATTTGACCAACTCATCATTATAGCTATCAGATATTTTCTACAGATGCTTAGCTTCTGAATTAATATAGCATAGGATTGCATAGACACATTCATTGTCCATGAGAGTATGCAGCTTTGCAAGATGATCAAATTCATCCAAAAAGTCATCCAGCTCATTGAGGTTCAGCAGCAAGAATCTGAGAGTCTCTTTGGAATATGGTGCTAGCATTGTGCTAATCCCAGAAGATGCATGCATGGCAGAGGCAGAGACAGTGGTAGTAGTGAGTGCAGTGGTAGTAACAGATGTGGTTGTGGTAGTAGCAGTAAGAGAGTGTGTGGTGAGTGACATTAGCTGCAATGGTGGAAGAGCAGCTTGTAGAGCTTTAGGTGAGGAGGAAGATGTCAGAAAGAGAAGTGGAAAACAAAATAGCAGTGTTTCTGGACAAGAGAAATCAAGCAGATTGACAAATTGCAACTAATAAAGACAGTCTGACAGAGCTGGTGCAGTGTCTATAGTTTTTGCAGCTGCAGCTCATATATTGACATGAGTAGCATGAAGAATAAATTTTAGATTGTCAATTGAAGGTATGAGATCAGCTTGTGCAGCTCAATGACCTGCCATAATATTGAAGCCAACATGTGCAGAGATTCAGAAAGGTGGGAGAATAGTCTGAAAGGTGAACAACTGTTCAGATTGTAGTAGGCTCTAGATATAGAAAGTCAGTCACTGTTGGAAGTAAAATAGAGAATAGATTGTCAGGAGAAAAGGAGATGTCTCCTTTCCTATAAGATAGAGCTACTTATATACAATTTGAACTATAGGTGGCATGAATATGAGCAAGACAATGTAACAAAGTGATAAAGACACTAAGAAATGATATGGGCAATGTAATTAAAGGCTGAAATCCTTAAGTAAAACAATATGTGTGCATAATGGTGCAAAATCCTCTACACATGCTATTGCTATTTGCATGCAATGGATCATTGAAGATATAATTGTATTGCTATTTACTACTCTTATCACATTATAATTCTCCAACAAACTAAGAGTAGTATATATATGTG